AGTTACCAACCGTTTGAGAAATAGGTCAATTTTCTTGCGATTCAGCAGCGATTGGCAGGTAAAAATTTCAGTTCATAGGGTTTTTTGCGTTAACTTTTGTGGCACCCATATATCAAGGTTCTTTTTGTATCCAGCAATAGGCCAATTATCTTGCGATTCAGCAGCGATTGGCATGTAATAATTTCAGTACATGAGGTTTTTTGAGTTAACTTGTTTGGCAATTATATATCGAGCTTCTTTTTGTATCTAGCGTTATTCAAATGGTTCCAAACGGTTTCCTGTGTAATCTATAGCTCTTGGAAATAGTGCTTACATGACAACAGCAGGTGGGACCCAACAGTTTCCATGGTTTTATCGACATTTTCGACAAGTGGCCTTGCATGGTGTATCTTTGACATCGAAATTACCGAAACAGAATCGATGAAACCGTTTAAGCAAAACTGCGTATAATTTGCTGTTACAGTATCAGAGTATCAGGACCACAAAGACTATTCACATTTTCAGCTGCCTGACTGAAAATCAAAGAAACAATATAAAACTTGGCATATTTTCTCTTTGCTAGTGTCCATCGATGATAAGTTAACCAATTAAAAATATCGTTTTAACGCCATTTACTGATCCGATCGCACTTTTATAATGCTTGATAAAGATAACTAAATCTGTTTATAACTATTGTAAAAATTATGGATTTCTTTTTACACTACACCTAATACATGAAGTCTTATATATATATATATTTATATATATATTTATATATATATATAATATACTTTATGGGGTTTATGATGTTTCCTACAAAGCAAAAATCCTATAAACCTTACATATCCTTTTATATGCTTTTTCATGTAAATAGTATAAAAATGAAGTCAAATAATGTTACAGATCTATAGGTGTGATATATCCTACAAAGTGTTGATAATATATAAATTTAATTATAAATAAACTTGGTATGAACTATAAAAGTAATTAAAGTGAATGTCTGCTAATTGTTATAATTTTGTTAGTGATAAAAATCGTAGTAGGAATAGTCATAAAATTATGACTTTTTAATGAATGCTATTCTAAAGGATGAAAGAATGTATTTTTTTATGAGGAGTAAAATAATTGCGTAATTTTGAAGAAAGTAATTTTATTAAGCATTTATAATTCGAATCAAGTACTTTTTGAATGACTTTTTAATTGATGTTATTAGAAACCATAAAACAAGCGAGCAATTAACAATTAAAATAATTTATGCGAAAACAATTTGTGTTAATAAAAAATAATTTTTAATTGAATGTTTGTTTACCTTTCTGCATCATAAAAAATATTTATAAGATTTTTAAATTGAATCCAATTATATTTTTATTGCAGAAAAATATATAATTTTATATATTTTTTTCAAGCATGTGTTTTTGAATTGATTATGGAAAAAAATTTCATGGCGTTCAGGAACTTAAGTATCAGATGATTTAATTAAGTTTAATTAAGAGTTACATCACTTCTCAACTTTGTAAAAGTTTTGGGTCAATGGTTTATGATCTTATCAAATATGAATAATTAAATACTAAAAATAGAAATATGAAAATAATCTAACCATAACATTCAATGAATAATGAATTACACAATATTAACTATAATTATCAGTAGTTTAATCTATGCATTATTAGCGGCGAATCATTTTTTTACGATATAGTAAAAAGTCATAATTACTGCGAATAATTTCATAATATTTTTACCTAATAAGGATACTAATGACAATTTTTTATATTTTCACTTTTAGAATAGGAGCAAGAATAACATTTTAAGAATAAAAAATAAATAAAATAATCGAGACGCACTGGCAGGGTCCGTTGCCATAATTTGACTTGGGTGGGTTGTAAGGTTGGTTGGGTATTGACTATATATTTTTTATCATTCAAATTTGTTATGATATCTTAATAAGAAATTGGCATATGTATACAAATAGTTCTTTAATTAGCTTCGAGAAGAGATGTATTTTCACTCGCCTTTTGGCTACATGTCTATCTTAGGCATAGAATTTGTTACTCAATTTACGACAACAATCAGCAAAAATGTCGTTATATAACATTCTCGCTTTACACATCCTCCTTACCAACTGTCACTCTCAACGGCATAGTAATTCCGCAAACATAAACAGTGACGTACCTTAGTATTCACCTTGACAACATATTGAAACTAAAAGGACTCAAATGAAGCTTAAGGTTATAAGCCTTCACTGGCTAATCGAGCATTAGTCTCCCTTATGTTAAGAGTACAAAGTCTCGTTATACAACCAAGTCATTAAGCCAATCCGCATGTATGGCTTATAGCTATATAGCTTTGCTTATTCGTCAAACGTAGAGAAATCTGCAAAGATTTACACGCCGTGATATCTGATATATAAGCCTTGGCTTCTTACACACAGGCCTCTTAAAATAATTAACAAATCGTTATATATTTAATTATAGTTTGTTTATATAAAATAATTTGTAACGTAATGTTATTAGTCCTTAAGATTCTAAAACTTATTGTTAGGCTTTAAGTTAAAGCGATTCAATAAAGACATAATGTTTCATAAAATATAAACAATTGAAAAAAAAATTGTTATTGTAATTCATTACTGTTTAGAAAATATTTATACAATTTTAATAGAGTCATAATTACTGTCATGTTACTGTTGAATTTCAATAGCTAAAATTTGTCAATAAAATTAATTCAAAAAAATGCTATTAATTTGTAAGTACATTTCTAGTATAGCTGTGGTTTATGCATTTATTCTAATTGTAGCACAATAAGTGATTTAGTTTTTTATGATTACATAATGAATACCTGGCTTATATAGAAACAAATAAATAATGATAATATAATTATTAAAAGACCACTGATGATAGATATTAGGCGATATCTGAAATAGCTGTATATTTGATTTAAAAGTTATTATTTTTTAATATTTTCAAAACAATATTGTACGGTAGAGTGGCTTGAAGGACATTTATTTAAAATAACGCATTAGCTTCCAAAAAATGTTCATAAACTTCTAAAATCCTACGTGCCTCACCGAAAATATAGGGTTAGACAGAAATCTTTTACTTCGCAAGAGTACGATATCAACGCTGGAGTTCCTCAGGGTAGGATCCTTGGGTCGCTTCTATACTTAATTTATACAACTGACATCACACAATATCCAAACAATTTGCTGACAACGTTCGCTGACGACACTGCTATAGTCAGTACCGACTGTGACCGCACTATAGCTCCACAAAATTGCGTTCAAGTAGCTTTTACTCTAAGAAGAAAAACATGCCCTGCAGGTTAATTTAATAATAATGTGGATATCGCTGAATCACATTTTGTGAAATATATGAGTATTCATCTAGATAGAAGGCTCACGTGGACAAGTCATATTGATGCCAAAAAATGTCAATTGAATCTTAAGTATAAGGAATTGTACTGGCTTCTAAATCGCAACTCTAAACTCAGTCTCGATAACAAATTGTTAATTTACAAATAAATATTAAAGCCAATTTGGACTTATGGTATACAACTTTGGTGTTCAGCGAGAAACACAAATATATAAAAAATCCAGAGAGTACAAAATAAAATTCTCCGACAAGCTACGTGCGTCTCGTGGTATGCCAAAAACAAAAATCTACGCATCTAAATTTACCAACTGTTGAAGAAGTTATTCGCCAATTTATACCTAAATTTTGAGGGAGACTCAAGTCGCATCCTCATGTTCGACAGTTTTCTTCTGCAACTGCACCATATCGCCTTAAAAGAAAATCCTTGATAAATATGAATACCTAGCTCAATAGCATACATGTTAGTTTTTAAGATTTTAAGATCAATAAAGAAATTGATGAAAGAAAAAAAAAATTTTTTTTCAATTTGAAATAACTGCAATAAAATCCCTTACTTTTTTGAAAAAGATTTCTTGTCACAAGAAACAAAAATTATAATTAAATTTAACCACTTAACAACTCAACAAGTATCAATCCTCGTTTAGTTATTTAGTATAGTTTTTTTAATACATAATTATATTTTTAAATAAAATTCAGTAATACCGATAAACTGGTCGGACAATCATATGGCAAAATAAAAGGCTACTTAATAATTTTCGTTCATTACAATATAAGTCCATGACTGTTTTAATACTATTACGGGATTATGCCAGATATATAGATTTATTGAACTGCTAAAATCTACTTATGGAACCAATCATGTAAAATAACCAATCTCGTTAAATCAAAGATGTTAATAAACTATAATCATTTCTATGATCTTATAATGATCTAAATAAAAATGTTTAGAATACCAAATATATAAATTAAATGTATTATTTTGATTATACCAAACTTAAGTGCGTAGCTTAAAATAGAATTTTAAAACAATTAAGTAATTCTTAGAAAATTTGATATTAGTATTAATAATTTAATTTAATACAATTATTAGAGCAATTTTGTATACAAAAAAATTTCTATCGAAGTGATAATAATTATCAACAAGTTTTGCCAATACTCGTATAAATAAATTTTTATTGCCGAACATTTCTCTCGATAATTTATTAACATCAACTTAAAAATTAATTAAGAAACCGCCATTTAATGGTGCAATAAAAATATCCAGTTATGATATACATTTTATGCAAATAGTGCATATATTAGCAGCGTAAATGATGTTGACAGTAATACCTGAAAATTGTATTATAACCGACATATGTATAACTAATGGAGTGGATAAATATTAATCTCGGCAGGTTTCCTAAATTGTATTTAAATAAATTTTATACACAAAATAAAAATCAATGATTAAATTAATCAAATAAGTAACTGTTTAAATTTAAAATTATTTATTAGTTTTTTTTTTTATATAAAATGTTTATTGTTTTATTGTAAATATTTTATATTTACACACCTAAATTACTTGTTTTGGTATCGCTTTGGATTAGTAAATCAAATAATTAACTTTTTAAATTTAAAATTATTTATTAGTTTTTTTTTATAAAAAGTTTATTGCTTTACTGTAAATATTTTATATTTACAAGTCTAAATTACTTGTTTTGGTATCGCTTTGGATTAGTAAACAGGTATAATAAAAAATATTTAATATTTAATTATTTGCAGAGATTCTTTACAGAGTATTTAATGAGTTTATTGTTGTATTAATGATAGACCGATCACACATACTCTTTGGAAAATATTTTCCAGACTTGCCTATAGTTGCGAGATTACGTGGGATCATCTTTGATGACGATACAAATAAACATATTTATATAAATTTGTTAAAATAAATTGTACGTTCACAAAAAAACATTTTACAACATTTAAAATTAGTAAGGCACTTCTTAAAACAAAATGCACATGGCAAGGTTAAAATCACAGTAAACGACAAGTGAACAAAAAACTAATTAATAAATTATTTATAATTCCTCATGTGTTTTGGCGATATCTATGCTGCTTTTCACTTCCTCTCCATCTCTCCAAGCAGCATTCGTATTATGCATATCACTACTAAAATTCAATTCTAATTCACGATCACTTTTGAGTTGTGCCGTATTTGTGTTTGTGAGTTGTGCTGAAGGTTGTGAAGTTAATTCTGAGTCCTCAGTATCTGATATATAGCCCATATCTCCAGTATAATGAGTAGGAAACAAAATTAATGGTGCCGCGCTAAGAGCAATCACATTTCTTTCTGGAAATGCAGCACTCCAAGTTTTATTTGGATGGCGATTAAACATCAAAGGTAGGTATTCATCGACTGGTATTAACTTTTGAAGTGGTTTTGCATTGAGTAGTTTGAGAGCGCCTTCATAGGACAAAACATAGCCTAATGTCCAGTACGAATAACCAGCATGTACTAAGTAGTCAGTGTCTTGAACCCATGGCTCATTTTCATCCTTAAGCCGTTTACGACCAAAGTAACTAAAACAGAATATTATATTTAAAAAATATATTTCGATATTTAAGCGTAATATATATGATGATATTTTAAAAAAGACAAATACACGACTGTTTTTTATAATATAAAATAAAGCATTGCAAAATAAAACATAGCACATAGTGGAGCTCTAGATACTTCAAGAATAAAATAAATGTAAATGTGCTAATTAGCACAAATTTACAAAAAAAAAAAACAATATTAAAAATAAAATAAAAAACAGTCTTTGGCATTTGGATTATATTACTTATCATTAAACTATTGCTATTAAGGAGTATTTTACAACTCTTAAAGTGAAGAATTACGTCTGATATTAAAGTACTTACATTAGATCATATTCGACCACACTTCTGGCTTCATTTAAAACACGTACCGCACGTTCTTGAAAATATGGTTCGAAACGTATATCATCTTCCAATATCAATACTTCTTTCAGTTTGTTTTCTACTATTTTTTCCCAAATACGATAATGACTCAAAAAGCAACCGATTTCACCCATTGTCATTTGACGATGATGATATGGATCCTTATTGAATGAATATATTAACGTTCCATTTAATTATGTTTTATTTATTTATTACCTCATATCCTGGTAAAAATTTAATGCCCATTTCATTAATAATATCCAAATTAAGTTCCCTATAAATCATTTTAAAAAAATTATATAATTTTTCAATTTTTTTATGGTGAACATTCTAGCTTGCAAACTTACTTCCCATCAACTGCAGGAAAATGTTCAACATCTAGATTTAATATAGCGAATAGTTTTTCCATTTTTAAGCGGCGCTCGGGTCGTCGATTTAAGTTAATCATATAAATATGATCTAAAGTTAGTTTATGTCTAGGAAAAATAATTTTATGAAATAATAATAAAAAGTATAGAGTATTGCTTACTTCTCGCTTTTTGGCTTAAACTTTTCTAAATAATCAAGAACGTCGACAACTTTTCCAAGATCATTTACAATATTTGTTTGAATATTGGTCAATTGGAGCAAGTCTTGGGTCAAATTATCGTTAGCTTCTAATGGTTGTAAAATATACCCATAAAGATATTGATTATCTAAGTACAAAGGAATTTGTGAACAATTTGCAGATATGGCAAATATGATGATATCATCCAAAGGTCCATCATACAAACGACAGTGATTATTATTTTCTTTAGCCCACTGAATATTATTTTGCTGAATTTCTCTTAAACGTTCCTTTTCAAAAGTTAAGTAATAAGAACCCATATAGTTTAAATGCACTAATACTGCGCTATGAATCATTGGTACACGGTAAGTTCCGACTTTTTTAATATTATATATTTCTTTATATTCATCCGTGCGCTCGTAATAGTAGTCTGCTGTCATCCCGCACCAAAAATTTGAATACAAGCTTTCGGACAAAAGCAATGGCGCTACAATTGGTAATCTTAAATTTGTGAGATGTTTTAATGTATCGGGAAGCGTTAACAGTACGTCCACATCCAGAAACTAAAAAGAAAAAAGATTTTAATATTTTATAAGTAATTGGTTGAGAGAAATACTTACGAATATATAATCGGCCCAAATTTTGTGACCATATGCTAGAGCAGATTCTTTTAATTTTATTATATGTTCGAAACGATCCAAAGTCCATTCGAAAGGCGAACTAGCATTGTTATAATCACTTATGCTATCATCAATTTCCAAGTCCACACTAT